AGGGGACTATGGCTGATACCCGCAAAGATCCGAGGTTGGTGGGGGCGGGGCTAATGCTTGGGGCCTTAAGACAAAACTGAGGATTGGACCCAGCATTCGGGGGCGGGGTTTAAGGGAGAACTCTGGATAGAGAATGGGCCAAACTCAAGAAGGCGGGGCCTGGTTATAAAGCGGGGATTGGCCTGAGGGTGGTGTCCACGCGAGGATTGGGTCGAGTGCTCCGGGGCGGTGCTTAAGGGGGCGGTGCCGTGTCGGAAGTCAAAGGTCGGTAAATAGTGGTGATGTCATGCGGGCAAGATGGCGGAAGGGTGAGCCCGTCATCCTGCTCTCGGGCGTTGGGACCCGAATTCTCCCAGGGTTGGGGTGCTGGGCCAGGGTCCCCGTGGAGAACAGGAGGCCGGCGCGGCGGTGGACGCGGCTGGAAAGGCGGGGTGGAGTCGCAATGTGAGAGGGTGGGGAAGCGGTCTGAAGCTTCAGCCCCCGGGGTCCCATCTGGGGGGAAACTGAGGCCGGACCGCTCGTACTGCGGGGCTGCCAGCTGTCTCTGTCTCCCACAGGGAGGACGTGGGATGGTGGCGGAGCTGGCTGCAGCAGAGCTACCAGGCGGTCAAGGAAAAGGTAAGCCGGGCCGGCTCCCTTCCTCCCCCAGGGCCCCGCACCGCACAGTGCAGCTTGGCCCGGCCCCGCCGGCCCTCGGGGATGAGAAGGATTCTCTCCCTGCTTCTCGCCCCTTTCGGGCTCCGGAAAGACCGATCCCGACTTAGACCCGTGGGACACTAGCCACAGTGAAGGAAAGACATTTAAAGGCCGCAGCGCCCCTCGCGTGGGAATCCATAGGAAGGAGAAATTACAACTTCCTAGAAGAGGAAACATGTAATGTAGGTCTTAAAGGGTTCTAGCAATAGAAACTTAGTCCTCTAGTCATTGGAATATTGGCGTATGTGCCACAGCCAGCGCTCTCTAGCGGGCCCTGAGATATCGATATTAGCCAAACAGATGCATCCCTGGCCCCACGGAGCTCACCGTCCGGTGGGATGAGTGAGACTTGGCTCCACCGATGAGAAGTGCCACCGTGTGCTTCTGTTTCATTCCACGCTCGCCTGGCAGCCCGAACCCGAATGAATTGCGGGAATAGCGACTGGGATGAGTGCTGCTTCAGAGCATCCTCCCGGAGGCTCTGCCCTCTGGGAGCATCTCTGTCTTCCCCTGGCCGGTGTCCTCCTCTCAGCTCCAGGCCAGCAAGTCTGAGGCTGCCCTGAGCTGTTTGGGTTTTGAGGAGGACCAGGAAAGAGAATGTCACACGGAGGTTTAATAGGAGAGACCACGTAGCTTGGTTCCTGTTACTCAGTCTACTGACATTCATTTAGCAAACACATTTGAAGGCCGCCTGTGCGTTTCCCTCAAGGTTGGTCTCCCATACTCACGAAAAATAGGTAGATTAGCTTTCCATCTTTGTTCTTGGAGAACTATCATTTGAAAATTGTGTGTGTGTGTGTGTGTGTGTTGTTGTTGTTTCTGCCTTTAACAATGCCCCATTCCTAAAGAGAAGAATGAGTTAATTTCTGTCTCTTAGCTACTTACTGTTATATGAACCTGGGCAAGTTACTTAACCTCTTAAGGCCTTGGCTCCTCATCTTTACTGTTTTTTTTTCTTGGCCCTGCTTGCTTCTCTCTCCTATAAGGACTATGCCGCCTGGCCGGCCTGGCTCAGTGGTTAAGCATCAGCCTGTGAACCAGGAGGTCATGGTTTGAGTCCCAGTCAGGGCACATGCCTGGGTTGTGGCCTTGATCCTCAGTGTGGGGGGTGCAGGAGGCAGCCGATCAATGATTCTCTCTCATCATTGATGTTTCTATCTCTCTCTCCTCCCTTTCTCTCTGAAATCAATAAAGAAATATATTTTTAAAAATGTTTTTATTGATTTTAGAGAGAGAAAAAGGGAGAAGGATCGAGAGATAGAAGCATTGATGAGAGATAGGCTGCCTCCTGCACGCCCCCTATTGAGAAGTCGAACCCTCAACCCGGGCATGTGCCCTGACTGGGAATCAAACCAAGAACCTCTTGGTTCTTGGATCGATGCTCAACCACTGAGGCCCACGGGTCCGTTTTTCCTTAGTCTTTCTGTGCTTTCCTGGCCTGGTTCCATTTGGACCACTCAGTTCCCAGCACCCTCAGTTCTCTGATACCCCATGGCACAAATTGCCCCAAAGACTATTGCTCTGAGATGGTGCTATAATCTGCCTCCCTCTGCTCCTTACTTCCTGTACTGTGTGGTGTGTGTGTATGAGCTTTCCCACAGATACTGGTCGAGAAAGTTATATTGCTCTTCTGCCACAGATTCCCAAACTCATCTGAGCCTGAATACCCCCCAGCAACTTTTTCAATCTCTAATTTGCTTCTTCTCCCCTTGCCTTTAGAAACTTTCCTCAAACCTAACACCTCCCTGAAGTTCCCTGTTAAGTCACTTCCTCTTTTACTTCCAGGAGATAACATTAGCTCTTACTTTAAATATATATATTATTGATTTCAGAGAGGGAGAGAGAGTAGAAACATCAATGATGAGAGAGAACCATTGATTGGCTGCCTCCTGCATGCCCCGCACTGGGGATCGAGCCCGCAACCCAGGCATGTGCTCCCAACCAGAATCGAACCTGGGACCCTTCAACCTGTAGGCCAACTCTATCCACTGAGCCAAACCATGTTGAGGTCAACAGCATGATCTCTCTAACTCCCTCTGAAGCCACCACATATAAACTTATCTATATACACACTCAGCCTTACTTACCACTCGCCAAATCCAGTGGGTGTTTTCAGCCCTTATCTTCCTGCACCTTTCTGTTGCATTTGACACTAGTGATCACTCCCTCTTTCTTGAAACTCTACTCCCTTGGCTTTAGTGACATGATTCTTTCTCAGTTCTCCACATGCTTCCCCATCTTTCCTTTTCTGACTGTTTTCAGGAGTTCCTCTCCCTCTGCCTCCTCTTAAAGGTGTAGTATCTAAGGGGCCTTGTCCTTAGCCCACTGCTCTGTTTATAAACTCTTCCTGGGTGACCTTTATTTTCTTGTTAGGGTGACGCAGTCCTTTTCTCTGAGCTTTAGTGTTTGAGAGACTCCTTCTGGACAACTGATCCAGATATTTCGGTCACTGCTGATTCTACATGACCAGAGTCATTGTCATCATCGTCTCTCAGACCTGCTCCCCCTTCAGCGTTTTCTCTTTGTTGGCAACACTAGATCTACCCTAGTCATCTAGGTTAGCAGCCACTGGCTCTTCTTGATTCTATCTTGTTCTCAGTCGGTTCATACACTGGTATATAATTACCAAATCCACCTTTTTTGCCTGCTATTTTTTTTATATGTTTTTATTGCTTTGACAGAGAGAGAACATCGATCAGCTGCCTCCTGTACACCCCCTACTAGGTATTGAGCCTGCAACCTGGGCATGTACTCTGCCCTGGAATTGAACTGGTGACCTCTTAGTAAATGGGACAGTGCTCAACCAACTGAGCCACACCAGTCAGCGATGCCTGATATTCCTTGAATCAGTCCCATCCTTACCAGCACTGTTCTTATTCATATTTTTCTGTTTTCTTTCCTGGACTATTGCAACAGCCTCCTAACTGGTCTTCTTCCCTCTTCTAATCCTGTCACCCTGGGACCATATCAGTCCTGAAATTACCTATTAAAAAATGCAAATCTTGTCCCAGCCAGTGTTGCTCAGTGATTGGAACATCACCCCACACACTAAGAGGTTGCGGGTTCGATTCCCAGTTAGGGGGATGTATCTGGATTGCAGGTTCGATCCCTGGCCTAGATTGGGGTGCATGTGGGAGGCAACTGATTGATGTCTCTCTCTCTCCCCATCCCACTTTCTCTTCTATTCTCTCTAAAATAAATCAATGGAAAATATCCTTGGGTGAGGATTAAAAAAAAAAAAAAAAGCAGATCTCATCATGTCCTACCTCTTTTAAAGCCTTGGTGGCTCTCCATCACCCACAAGGCTGACCAGATGCTACATGGTTGCCCTCAGCAACATCTCCGGCTTTATCCCTTGTCACTTACGCTTTACCTTTTATGTTCATTAGGACTAAAATACCATAGGCCTCAGTAAACCCCATAGCACACCATGCCCAGGCTTTCTTAGGTGACTCCCATTCATAATCCATGCTTCCCTTCACCAAGTCTTTCCAAGCTCCCTGTAATACACTGGTCACTAGTCTGTCCTTGCTTGTCAGCACTGTTATGAGAGCATTTCCCCAGTAGACTGACCTTTCTCGAAGGCAAGCACCATGTTTATTCATATTTTTCCCCTTCTAGCCCACAGTCTAGTGAGAGAGACAGTCATTCATCAAATCATGCAGATGGTTTTATCATTAAAGTTGCCTTGGTCCATGTAAATGTAATAAGCAAACATTTCTGGAGCACCTACTCCATGCCTGACTCTATGTCAAACACCAGGGAAGCATCAGTGAACAGAAAACACAGGCTCTATGTTCACGGAACTCACAGGTTATGCAGGAAGATAGACATTGGATGGGTAGTCACAAGTCTAAGGTATGAGAAATGTTAAGAGAATGTGCAAGTCCCTTAGAACATGAAGCAGAGGAGCCAACCTAGTCTGAGGTGGCATCAGGGAAGTGACATTTAAGCATAGATCTGAAGTAGGAACAGGAATTGGCCAGGTGAGAGGGCTCACCATTGTATTTGTTCTCTTTGTTTTGAAGAGTTAGAACTATGTGTCAAGAAGAGGAATAATGTGTTCACATACTATGAAGTAGGGAAGGTGCTGGGGCATTTGACAAACTTGAAGGCCAGCTGGAGCTCAGTGAGGGGCACAGCTTAGAGGATGGAAGTCCGCCAGAAGCAAGATCATAAGGGCCTTGCAAGTGAGGGTACAGATTTTATATTTGCTCATAGGATACTGTAACCATCGAATAATGTACATGTCTGCTCTGACTTAGCTCCACTGATGTCAGAAAGAGAGTGTAATAGAAGTATCTGATGCAACCTGGGGGAAGTCCAGGTTGGCCTAGACCAGTGGTCGGCAAACTGCGGCTCGCGAGCCACATGCGGCCCTTTGGCCCTTTGAGTGTGGCTCTTCCACAAAATACCACGTGCGGGCGCGCATGTACAGTGCGATTGAAACTTCGTGGCCCATGCGCAGAAGTCGGTATTTTGTGGAAGAGCCACACTCAAAGGGCCAAAGAGCCTCATGTGGCTCACGAGCCGCAGTTTGCTGACCACTGGCCTAGACTAAGGTGGTGGCAGTGTGGATTGAGAGAAAGAATTAATAAATGACTCCTTTACCCCAACTAAATAGTTCTGAGTCTGATATGGGGGCATAACACCCACCCCCAGAGAAGCCTCTGGCTGATAGATGAGAGTGTCCCACTCAGACCAAGGCTGCTGAAAACTAAGCAGGCTCTTCCCCAAAGAAAACACAACCAGAATATTAAAAAACATGTTGCAAGTGGCTGTCCTTACGTAAAATGAGAGGGCTTGCAGACGGATACAGAGGTAGCCCAGGAAGGGTGAGGATGAAGCAAGACAAGGCAAGACTTAGACAAGAGCTGAGAGCCTGCTGTCTCCAGCTGGTTCTGGTGCAGGATAGGAAGCAGATTGGTCTAACACAGCAGGTCGCCAACCTTTCGGACCTCGCGGACCAACAGTTGGCAACCGCTGGTCTAACAGAAGCAAATACCAATTCTGCCCAAAGGAGCTCTATGAATGAATAGTTGGGACCAAGAATGCCTCGAAGAGAATTCAGTCAAGTATTTCTGTTCACACCCCATTTGTTGAATGTAAAAATTACACACCTTTCTGTTGGTATTAAATTGTCAAGAATTACTTATAAAAGCTTTCTAAACTATTGTTATTAATGCAACATGTTTATTAAACCTTTCAGACAAATAACTTCACATACTGCCTCATTTCAACTGAATTTTCCTATAACAAAGTAAAAATAGAAACACTTTCCTTTGATAAAAAAAAAATCACATATCTTTTCTTCATGTTACCTGAAATAGATGTCATCCTAACTCCACTGAGCTCGTCCCCTCCTTTCATAGGAGACGGCCGAGGACTAGATGAGCTTTCTCTGGCCGCACAGCTTGTGAGCGTCTGGGCTGACACTCAGTGCTCAGAGCAGCAGGAAGCTCTTTGCTCTCTGTTGTCAGTTATCAAGTCGTGGAATTGGGACAAGTGAGCATTGTTTCTGAGGCCAGGCTTCCCGTGTCTCTTGAGTTTTCTGTGTGTCTGTCTGGTACTGAAGAAGCACAGGGGACAGGAACAGAGGGTGGTGGAGCCCGCTGGCTCTGGCATCCGCTCTGTCTTCCATAGTCCTCCGAAGCCTTGGAGTTCATGAAGCGGGACCTGACGGAGTTCACCCAGGTGGTGCAGCATGACACGGCCTGCACCATCGCCGCCACGGCCAGCGTGGTCAAGGAGAAGCTGGCTGTGAGTACAACCTGTATCCTCCGAGTGGCTGGCCCTCACAGCCTGGCCTGTTCTGAGGCCATGGTGGAGGCTCCCAGCTTTTCTCCCACTTTTCTTTTATGTGATTGATTTTCCCATGGGCTCGCATTTCGAAAGAATTGTGTCTGCCAAGCAAACAAGCTCCTTCTATGTATTAAGTATTAATAAGCTTTCCCACTTCTTACTGTCTTAGCAGATGTTATCCTGTTACCAATATAATTCATTGTAATTTAGAAAATACAGATAAGTAAAAGAGAGAGAGAGAGAGGCCTAGAGACATCCAAAATGCCATCTCCCAGAGATAACTACTGTTACTATGAGGGAGTATATCCCTTAGGTACACTTTTTTTTTTTTTTTTGTAATTGGAATCAAATGAAGATCATGTTTTGTAACGTATCTTTTTTTTTTAATACAGAGAGAGGAAGGGCGGGAGGCAGGAGAGGGGAGGGAAAAACATCTATTGGTTGCCTCCCATCCACAGCCCAACTGGGGATTGATCTTGCAACCTGGATATGTGTCCTGACTGGGAATCGAACCCGCCACCTTTCAGTGCACAGGATGACACTCTGGCAAATGGAGCTACACTAGCCAGGGCTGTAACCTACTTTTTTACTTCATCATTACAGACCTCACTCTGTGGCTTCACAAATGGCATGGTATTCTATTATGTGGCTTTAACCAGTTCCTAGTTTCCTATCATTTTCCCCCAGTATTGTAAACAGAGGTACAGTGAACATTCTGATTGCTAAATCTTTGCCTTTCACATTTTCTTTCTAATAAAATATTGGAAGGGATCATAGGGTGAGTATAGTTTTAGGCCTTTTAATATCTATTGCAAAACTAACCTCAAGAAAGGTGTGCCAACTTACATTTTTACTGGCCCTGTTTTTATTCATCAGAGCTGTGCATTGGAATCCTCTTCTGACATAGGAGTTTGACTCTGAAGTCAGTGTGGAAGAGAAAATTGTATTTAGTCAAACATATCCCTGCAAGTCTCAAGTTTCTGATGAAGTACAGTATACTGTTGTTCTTTTTTAATATATTTTATTGATTTTTTACAGAGAGGAAGGGAGAGGGATAGAAAGTTAGGAACATCGATGAGAAAGAAACATCGATCAGCTACCTCCTGCACACCTCCCACTGGGGATGTGCCTGCAACCAAGGTACATGCCCTTGACCGGAATTGAACCTGGGACCTTTCAGTCCGCAGGCCGACGCTCTATCCACTGAGCCAAACCGGTTAGAGCAGTATGCTGGTTTTTTATTATAGTTTTCCCTTTAGTGATGGGACGGATTGCAATTTCTTCATTTGCTCACCAGTTGAATCAGTTGCCCTGTGACTGATGCCATGTTATGAAAAATATGTTTGGCAGTTTTTTACCAAGCTTGTTTTGTTGAATGTTGTAAAATACTGTCTGCCTGCTAACCACAGCTACAGATGAGCATGAAAGACAAGTGGTAACGCTGCTGAACTGCGATAAGTCCAGCCAGCAGCAGAGACAGCACTTGTTTCTTTCATTTATTTATTCCTTTTTTTATTCCAAAAATAGGATTGTATACTGTGCTGACTTGTTCTAGGCACTGAGATAGGTTCTAGTTTAAAGTGCTAGGGTAAATAAATAAAATAAATAAATAAATAAATAAATAAATAAAGTGCTTGGGCAAAAAATAAATAAATAAAAAGCCTGGGCAGCCTCGTTAGGAGTAAATATTATAATTTTCCATGAGGTCCTGACCCTGTCTCAGCATTTCATCCTTGCTTGCTTGAGGACATTCTGACCAGTGTGGCTCAAGCTTGGTGTCCATACATTGGCCCTCAGCTGGTCCTAGGCTTGCCTCTAGGCAAAGCAGTGTTCTGATCCAGCCCATACTTCCTCAGACTTCATAGAAAATATTCCACTTCCTGAGCAATCATGATGATGAAATTGTGATATTACAGTATTGCTATTTATTAAATGTTTGCTTAATGCCAGGCTTTGTGAATGCCTTATCTCTCTTTTTTTTTTTTTTTTTTTTTTTTTGGTGTTGAAACTCACATGCCGTATCTTTTTAATCCTCACAGTAGCCCTCTGAAGGAAATATATTATCTGAATTTTACAGAAAAGGAAACATAGACTCAAGGAGGGTTTAGATCTCATATCAGCAAGTAGTAGAGCTAGGATTCAAACTAAAGTTTGGTTCCCCAGCTAGTACCTTTCTCATCACATAGGGCTTCCCCACTGAATGTCTATGGCATGGCTCCTCACCTGTCAATTTTTGCTCAGTCTGGCTGGCCTTGAAATTTTGATGAAATAGCCAATCAAAGGAGCTCTGCTCTGACGTACAGAGGCCTACTGCAGCCCTATTCTGCACCCCCATCTGGGGGATGGGAACCCTGGCTGCCTCTCTCTCCTCCTCCAGCCCCAGAGATGGAGTGGGAAGTTGTGAGCACTTCCCTGGTCCCCACATACACAGTAAATTTTTGCCCCTGATCCTTAGCTGCTCCATGCCCCATGCCCCAGATTATAGCCTGATCCTGGACCACTTGCTTCCTCTGCTGGCTTGTCTTTGCAGACTGAAGGCTCCTCGGGGGCGACGGAGAAAATGAAGAAGGGTTTGTCTGACTTCCTAGGGGTGATCTCCGACACCTTTGCTCCCTCAGCAGACAAAACCATCGACTGCGATGTCATCACCCTGATGGGCACACCTTCTGGCACAGCTGAGCTCTATGATGGCACCAAGGTATTCACTAGTGGCTTTCCCTGCAGTTGTCTAACAGCACTGAGCTCTAGCCTCCCACATGTCCTCACAAAAGCAATGTGTGTTTTGGCTAAAAAGTAAATATATGTATATAACTGAATTTTAGAATACCAATAAGCAAGATAATTATTTCTAAATGCATAATCCCATCAGTCAAAAAGAATCACTGATTTCTTGTTGATATATAACCTGCCCTTCCTTCCCTCCTTCCCTTCCTCTCTTCCTCCCTTCCTTCCTTTTCTTTCTTTTACAGAAGGAGCAGC